TTTTGAGAAATCAGCTGACAGTCTAATGGGAACTCCTTTGTAGGTAGTTCTCTCCTTTCCCCTTGGTACTTTCAAGATTCTCTCTTTATCTTTGTATGTGTATATGTGAAGTGCATATATTTAAGGAGGTGAGGGGATATTAGAGAAAGACAAAAGTCTTCACAGAGGAGATATCTACTGAGAAGAGATTTAAAGGAAAAATAAGAGTTCTTCATGTGGACAAGGTGCAGAAGAGTTTTAAGGCCATAAAGACCATATCTAAAAGGCTGAAGGGCATGAGAAACCATAGGGGTATGGAGGGACTTCCACGAAATTTGAGGTGATGAGTCAGAGCGCCAAAGTGAGAATGAGGTTCAGAGAGAAGGGGGACCACTTTGTGAGGACACCAGTACTCAGACAGGGTTTTTATTTCTGTTTTGTTGGTAGAGAGAAGCCATGGAGAATTTTAACCAGAAGAGAAACATAGTCAACTCTATGCTTTAAAAGAAAAATTAATTGGAACAAATTTTCAAAGTGTCCCTCTATGGAGGTTGGGTAAAAAAAATGATCGCACATCATTCAGTGGAACTTCAAATAGCCATTAAAACAATGAGGTGGATCTATATGTGCTCATATAGCACTATTTTAAAGATAAAACTTAGGTTAAAATAATCAGGGAGCTGTATGGTGTTTGTAGTGTGGTTCCATTTGTTTGAAAGATGTGTGTGAATGTGTATGCATGAAGGCATCCATCTATCTATGATTATATATATCTAAAATAATTTCTATAAAAATACACACAAAAAACTATTAAGTGTTGCTTCTAGGAGAATTTGGAATAGAAGTTGTAGAAAGAGTTACTTTTCATTGTAAACCTTTTGGACTGGTTGAATATTTTTTTATCACGTGCATGCACTATTTTTTAATATATTAAATAAATATGTATTAAAAATTTTATTCTGCCTGAAATGTGATTGATGGATTGAAGAAAGGAGAGACTAGGGCTAGAGAGATCCCTCCCCCACTTCCATTTTCTTGATTAATGGCAACACCATCCATCCAGTTATTCAGTCTCAAACCTTGAAGTCATCTTCAACTCACCCTACGTCTAGTCAGTAATCAAGTCCTGCCTGTTCTAGCCAGAAATATCTCTCCCCTCAGCCCCTGAGAAGACAGAGAGGTTGACGAGACACAGCGGCAGGCTGAGAGAGAGACTGGAGTATGTATAAATATTTAGTATGTGATAATGGTGACATTTCAAATCCTTGTGGAAAGGATGGATTATTCAATAAGTGACATTGGAAAAAATTAACTGCAATCCTTAGCTTAGTCATAAACTGAAACAAATTCAAATAAATTCCTAGTGAATTAAAGATATGTATATAAAAATAAAGTTACAAAGCCACTAGAAGAAAATGTAGATCAGTCTTTATAACACAGGAGGCAGGACAGGGTCTTTCTAAGGAAAATGTTAAAAAAGATAGTAGAGAGACAAGTCTGATAGCTCAGGCTATTTAAAATTATTGCTATCATAGGCTGAAGACATATTTTAAAAATCTGAAGCAAGTGTAAAACTGGAAAAATACTTCCAAAACTATGGCATGTTAAAGTGTTAATAAGCTTAACTTATAAAGAAAGCTTACAGAGCAACAAGAGAAAGATAAACACTCAAATAGGAAAATAAAAATAAGTAATTAACAGAAGAGAAAAACAGCTGGCCAGTAAACATATAAAAGAATGTTCCAAGTTGCTGGGTTTTTTTTTAAAGCACATTAAATAACAATGAAACACCACATTTAACCAAATATTTTTAATTAAAAGATTATTTTCCTTTACTGGTCAGCATGCTAGGAAAGTCTTACACACTGCTGGAAAGACTATAAATCAAATCAAACTCCATGATGTAATTTACCAGTGTGTATCAAAATCTTTAAAACTGTATCTGTTGTTGACTTGCTGATTTCACTGAAAGTGAACATACATATGTATGTATCCTGAGGAACAAATTAAAGATATGACAATGTTGTTTGTCACAGTGTTGTAAATAACAAACCCCCCGAAGTCCCTTAACCTCAAAATTCTTGAAGAAAGGTTAAGTAAATTATGGTACTGCCAAACAACAGAACATTACGTGCTCAATAAAAGTATCTTAGTTTAAAACTACATATGTACTCAAAAAGGTTTTTATAATATAGCAAAGTTGTATTTAGAAGATGGCATGTACAATGTATTCTGTCTTATGTTTATACAAACATCAGGTACAGTGGAAGGGTAAGATGAATGTCTAATGTTTTCAATAGCAGCTATTTCTGGGTAGAAAAATTACAGATAATTCTTATTTTCTTAAAACCACTCAATATTTTAAAAATTTGCTTAACAAATATCAACTACTGTGCAAACAATGAAAAATTAAATATGCACCTGCCCTTTATCCCAGAAATTTTAGAATTTTTTAAAATAAAGAAATGATTAGAGGTGTCAGAATAGTTGGTGGTACAAGGCTGTTCAACACAGCATTATAAGTAAAGACGAAGACTGAAAACAGTCTGAGTATCCAAAACCAGGGAATATTCAAATAAATGATGGTTGGATACAATCATAAAAATATAGTTATAGAAGAATAGTTGTTAAAATGGGAAAAAAAACATTCATGAGAATAAGTGAAAGCAAAGCTGGCTATGAAACCACATGCAAATGGGCATACCCTTATTTGCAAGAAGCAGTAAGTATTAAGAAAGTTTACACTAAAATATTAATATGGTTATTTCTGGTTGGCTGAATTGCAGGTAAGCTCTTTAGTCTGATTTCTTATATGTTTCTAAAGCGTTTTGTATTCTACATGTATTACATACTTAACTTTTTAATTTGGGGGGAACTATTAAAACATCATAAATAACAATAAAAGTCAAATAACAAAATGAGGAAAATATTATAACATAGGATTTTCAAAGTGTATTAATATATTTAATCTATAAAGAGCTCTTACAAGTCAAGAGAAAAAATGAATACCTCAATGAAAAGATTTGCATGGGAAGAATAAAGACAATTAAAAAAGAAATATAATCATTCAATTTGCATCTGAAAAAAGGTTGAATATCACTATAAAAAGGAAATGTAACTCAAAGAGAGATGGACGTTTTTGTTCTTCAAATTGGAATTCATTCCTCAAACACTCATAATATTATTGCTACTGGTGGGAGAATGGCCCCACTCACACAGTGATGCAGGAAGCGTAAATTGTCAGCTTTCTGGAGTGCAGTTTAGCAGATATATCGGGAACCTTAAGAATGGTAATTCTTTGTGACCGAGGAGGTCAATTTTTAGGAATAATCCCTAGGAAGGAACCATGGTTGTACAAAAATTTATGGGCAGGAACACTTTGTTGCAGCATTACTTACAATAATTTAAATTAGAAAATGACCCAAACAGTTAACAATAAAGGATTGGCTTGGTTGCCAATCACGAACAGGCCTCCAATCCTATGTGTCTGATTCCACAAAATCCTCAGAGCTGACAGATTTTGTTTGCAGATTCAATGGTGGCAAAAAGCTAATTTGAACTTAAAGGAGGCTGCTTAATAGCCATTATTTATTTCATTTAGTATGATTATTCAAATGTTTTGTTGCCCAAGTACAATATTATACTTGGTTTTAGGCTGCTGTGAAGATCCTATTGTAGCAGCTTAATAATATACAATTTTTGCCCAGTCTTATCTTCTCTCAAATCAAAATAATTCTGATTTTTGAAATATCTGCTCCCCAAAGTTTTTGGAACCAGATGATATAAACCTATAACATCATTTAAATTCATGTTTTAAGGGAGCATTGTTGAAGATTTTGGTTATCACATTTTTTCTTATTATTAAGACAAAAAATAGTAGAACATAAAACTATGCATACAAGGTGGGACAAAAGTAGGTTTACAGTTGATGATATGGAAAATAGTACAATAAATAACAATGCAAAAATAAACTGTGGCCCTGGCTGGTGTGGCTCAGTGGATTGGATGCCAGCCAAATCAAGGATCTCAGGTTCAATTCCCAGCCTAAGGCACAGGCCTGGGTTGCAGGCCAGGTCCCCAGGAGGGGGCACAAGAGGCAATGTGCCTCTTATTACACATTGATGTTTCTCTACCTCTCTTCTCTCTCTCTAATAAATAAATAATATCTTAAAAAATAAACTATGATTTTCTCATTCACAACTATAAATGTACTTTTGCCCACCCCTGTATATCAAAATTTTAACAGTGATTATCTCTAGATAGTGAAATTGTGAGCAATTTAAATCTTTTTTTATACATTTTTATATTTTCCAAATTCTCTATAATGAATTTATATGAGCTCTAACAAATAAATGTATTTGAAAAACCTAAACTAAATCTAGATGATTTTTTATTACCTAGAAACTGAATAAAATGTCCAAGAAACATAGCCAGGATTCAAACTGAGTTTTCTAAATCTGCCTCATACATTCCTTCCCCTTTAATGTGCTACAACTAAACTGGTGTTTTTGAAAGAAAGTCTAGCAGATTTTTGATGAACAATGTGAATAAACAGATTCTGTGGCCCACTACATACTGAGAAATGCAATCAATATACGGGAGTTTACTGTAGGACTTCTCAGGGCCTGTATATTCTAAGTGGCAATATGTGCTTCCAAAAGAGAGGTGTATTATGTGGAGTTTGTCCGTTTGGCCATAGATCTTTTCTATTTAATTTGATTTGTATTTCAGTTTATGTTATTGTGCGGAAAATCTTCTAGACCATCCTGAGAATGTGCTTCCCATAAAGTACTTTGGAAATGCTAATCTAATGGAAAACTTCATCCTTCAACTGAGGAAAAATATACAAGAACCATCTCTACAGTAGTAACAGTTTCCTGTGGGAATGCTGACTCTTTCCAGTTATTAGCTTTTCTTTTTAAGAGTGATCTTCATAACATGTGAAGGGCCATGTTGCCAGAATGGTGAAGTTTGTTCTGTTAAGACAGTCATTTGTTCTGTTGTGATTCCATAGAAAATGATGGCCCATTACATAAATACTGATGGAAAGTCTGCAGTGGCGGGAAATCAAAGCTCCCAGATTTAATTCTCTGAACCCTCTTTCAGGTAATCAGACACCTCAGAACTTCTCACAGAGACGCACAAGACGGGGGCTGAGCAAAAAGAACTGTAGTCTGGGTAGCGGCAAAGCTGGAAGAGGACTTATTAATGTGAACATTCAGTGCTACCTCTGTCAGGTTGCTTCTTCTCTCTGTGTCTTGATCACTTCTTTTGTACAACAAAAGGGTTGATTAGGGTAGAAGAGCAAACTTGTTTCATCTTACTTGCCAACTCCAACTCGGTTAATTGGTGGAGGCTTCTAGAGTCTCAAGTCAGCCTCCCTGATTAGTGATAAAGAATACTGGAATTGATTATTAATGTCTGCCCTGGGCACAGATGGAGAGTGGCACCACTTCTGCCCTTTGTCATCTCCAAGTTTATGATTATCTAAGTACTCTTGAAGACCTGGGATGCTTTAAAAAGAACATATAGGAGCCAGCTTCCAAATATGAAATCTAGTTCTTGTTTCATAAACTGGTGATCTTTCGCCTTGTTTCCTTCATCCATGGAGCTTGCAAACTCTTGGCTCATGGTCTCTGTAATAGCAAAGTAGTGGTTTTCTATGGCAGTCTTCTTACACTCCCTTCCTTTCACCCTCTTGCCCAAGATGAATCTGTTTTTACTAAAAGAGAAAAAAAAGGAAAAAAATACATATGTAAAAATCACACATCCTCACCATGTGCAAAAATCATGTGTTTGGCAGCAAGAACATCTTTCCAAGGCCAAATGGCATTTTTTCTTTCTTGCAAAACGAGCAAGGAAAAAAATCTTACTTTCCCAGCAACTGGCACTGAATTATTGGCCCCTGTTAGTTGCTGCCACTAAGGGGCCTCTCATCCTTGAAACCTGTGATGCTGGGAGAACAAGTCCTGGGGGAATCTGGTTGCAACTTCCTCTCCTGCTTTGCATAGAGACTGAAGCATGCAAAACCATGGTTGGCAGAACCATTGTCATGGGTATTAGAGGGAGAGTGGTATGGAGGACAAATAGACCAGAGAGTTTGTAACAGCCCCATCGCTTACTAGCTGTGTGATTTGGGGCAGAATTTTTAACTCCTCTGAACCATCGACTGCTCAAAAAGGAAATGTCCCAGTTGGTCACTATGTGTGAGGATACTCCAGAGAACAAAACTGGCCAAAGTCCCTGCTCTTGGTGGGGCTGATATTTTAAAAGAAAGAGGCCAGCTGGGAGGGGATAATAGAGAAGATGGACAATGAACTGGTTAATACACACTTTAGTATCAGATGGTGCTGAAGACCAGAAGAAAATGAAATCTGGGTAGAGGAATATGAAATGCCAGGGTTGGAGTGCCACTTCAGCTAAAACGTCCAGACAAGGAGCCATTAAAACCAGGAGTTGGCGAGGTTCTGTGCCTTGTGTGTACCTGGAGGATTAGGGCTCCTGGCAGAAGGAATAGCAACAACAAAGTCCTCAGGCAGAAATATGCCAAGTGTGGGAACAGCAAGAAAGCCTGTGTGTCTGGAATGGAGTAAGTGAGGCAGAGAAGAGCAGGAGATGAGAACAGACTGGAGTGAGGTGAGGGGGAGGCAGGGGCAGGGCAGGGGAGACAGGTCAGGCAGGGTTTTGTTAGGACTTTGGCTTTTTCTCTGAGACAGGGGGTTATGGGAGCTTATTACACTAAAGAGTGACATGATCTCATTTACATTTTAACAGAAATATTTGACCTCTGTGTTGAGAAAAGGAGGGTGTAGGAGGCAAAGGTGAAGGTAGGGAGACACTTTGGAGGCTGTTGCCATGCTTCAGGGAAGTGAGGGTGATACTTTGGACCACAAGGGAGAGAAGGAGGTGATGGAAAGTGGGAGGGACCTTGATACATTTTGAAAGCTCCCTTACCAGATTGTTGTGGGAAATTGTGAAACAATGTGAGGGAAGTCCCACCCAATTCCTAGAATACAATAGTTACTCAAAGTTAGCTCACTGTTCCTAGTTATTTGACCAGTTGTGCTTGCTTACCCTAGAGAGGGGCTGGGTGGCTCACCTGAGAGCATCCTCATTCATTCAATCATTTCACCAGATATTGTTCTCTTGCCAAGCTCCATAAGATTAGAAAGGAGATGACAGCATGATTTACTGTAAGATGTCTGTCAGTGCTTCCTGAGGGCGGAAAAGGGGATTCTCGTTGACCATAGGGATGCAAAAAGAGAGATAAAGGGGGGAAACAACTACTTAGGGAATTTTGTTTCCCAAAGCAAAACAAACAATAAAAGAATTGCCAAGGATCATCTTGGCAGAATGTGGTTGGTAGAGAAAATTTTGGAGCTAGTGTTAGAGATGCTTTAGGGAGAACACATTCGAGTTTGAACTAAGCTGTCAACGTGGGTTCCTGAGAAAAAGTCTGTAGAGGGTGAACTGAATGTGTCCCAATGATGGAGTCAGGCTGGGTGTGGAGACAAGGACAGTTAGTGGGCCAGGCACAGCTTCCTGCCACCCTCCCAGGCTGTGGCCCCAGGGCTCCCTACAGGGTAAGCAGTGGTGTGACCCCATTGTTGAACTTGGTTGGTGCTGAAGGCATTCCTGAGGAGAGGCTGTGAGGCAGAAGATGTGAGGAGGCTCTATCCAGGACTGGCAGGTTTATAGGGAGCAGAGGGACATCAAGAAGTGTGATACAGTCCCTGTTATGAAGGTGTCTGCGCTACGGCACAGCGAGCATGGCAGAGGCGTTGGGTGAGCAGGGCAAACAGATAGAACTGGAGCAGCAGCCTTCCCATGGTGAACTCACTAGCAGAAAATGATTTCAAGCATTTTAATAGATTGGCAGTTATTTTAATGTTTTGCAAAAACACTAGATTTTCTTTTATGATAGTGATATGCAATCCTTTAAAATACATTTATGAAAGCTTAAAAATAAGTTGACTTAGTGGACATTATTCAGTCAGTAAGAGGCCAGGTAATGATCTGAGGGGTCCCTGAAAAGAAATTGAAGTTTGGGAACTGTGGCCTCAAGAGATGCTCTGTCCTCTGGGTGGTACTAGTATTGTGCTGGATTCTGGGGGTTAGCCAGACTCTGGATGGGGTCTCTTTTCACATCTGAAAACTCCTGGACATGAGGAGTCCTATATGTCAAAGGACATTTTCTCCTTTTCAAATGCTTCTGTTTCTTGTAAGAGTATGGATGAAGGGAACAAGATAAGGGAGAGAAAGTTCTGTCACCCCTTCTGTTTACACAAGAATGCAAAGGCCACCCTTTAATCTGTCCACTTAAAAAAATCCTCACCTGAGGACATTCTTCCATTGCTTTCAGAGAAAGGGAAAGGGAGAGAGAGAAATATTGATGTGAGAGAGAAACACTGATTTGTTGCCTCCTGTATGTACCCAGAGTGGGAGTCCTACATGCCAGGAATGGGATTCAAACCCAAAACCAAGGTATGTGCCCTGACAATGAAACCCTTGACATTTAAGTTACAGGATGGTGCTCCAATCAACTGAACCAGAGCTAGCCTGCCTACTTTCAACTTGCCCTCAAGGCTTTCTTTCTCCCTGTCCTGGGAAGAGGCAGCCTGAGAGCAAATGCTTTGCTCACCTCTCACACCCGCCCACCCATTGTTCTCCACAGGATGTCTTCCTGTCCATATGACTTATAAAGCACAGACCTTTAGAAAGCAGTTCAATAGTGGCTAGTTCCTCACCATGAATGAGGTGGGGGTGGGGTGACTGTGGGAGCAAGCCTGTCTCAACTCTTGCTCTCCTGATCCATCTTCCTTTTTGCTGAGTGACCTCTGTCCTTTAGAGCCAACCAGACATTGAACCTTGTATCTGTGTGGAGGACTTGAGCAGGTGGCAGGATGGCCTCTTTGAGGGCCATTGAAAGCCCCAGGAAAGCTGACATTGGGCTTCATGGGGGCCTATGCATCAGCAGAGTGGACAGTAGTGATGAGCCCCGCTGGCATTGGGCCCATGTATTGGACAAGACTGCCCAGCGGAGCCCAGCAGTTTAGGCAGAGTCGTGTGCCAGCATGAGGAGCTACTCACCTCATGGTGGCTCAGTGTCCTCATCTACAAAGGGTCATGCCAGTGCTTTTTTCACTGGGCTGTAATGGGGCTGTAATGAGGATCAGAAGGCATCTGCACATACAGGGTCTGTGCCTGGCATAGGCTAGATCTTGATAAATGAGAGCTATTATTATTGTCTTCATCACTGGAGCTAATTCCTGTAACATGCCTGAAAATAATTAACATCCTCACCATTGAACAGAAACACGTGATGTCCACTGCTTGTCTTGATGACCTCCAGGGACTCTTACATCACGCTCGCCATGCCGCAGTGCATGCCCAAGCAGTAGCACCCAAGGAATGTTCAGGATGGAGATCTTCTGACTTATTTTTATCTTGAGGACCTTCCTCAGAGGACTGAGCTTTGGTGGCCCAGCTGGAGTACAAGCTCCTGTGTACACAAGTATGATGTATCCCATTTCCACCTTCTCCACAGCCCTGTGTAGTAGGGACCAATGTCTATTTCATGACTATTGACACAGAGAACTGAACATGCTCATAATATGTCAAGGCTGACCTGGCCTCTGTGTGTCAAGGCCAGGTATTGATCCTAGCGGCAAATCTCCCAACCCCAGGTCTCCCTCCGGAACTGTACCTCCTAGCCAGTGCCTAAGTGTTGTAACAGAATTTCAGAGCCATCTGTGGGAGGGGGCTATCCCAGGGGGGAGAGAGGGATTCAGAATCTCAACTTTCCCCTTTAGTCACTGAATACACAGGTTGGGTGGGGGTTGAGGTGGCTCAACAGATGTCACCATGTGCCATCCTCAGTTGGCCTCTCCAAATCTTAACACAGCTTCCTGTCCTTGAGGTGCATCTGACAGCCCAAGCCTGGCTTCCTAACCCCCAAATCCTCATCTCCAGGTGTGCACAGTGTGAGGTCATAAGAGGGCTTTACCCTGTCCTTTAGGTTGGGACATTCTTGCTAGAACTTGTATTCTTGGGGGCAGGGCCTACCAGGGAAGGGAGAAAAAAAGGAAACTCAAACTTCAGAGTCAAACTGACTACATGGGAATCGTGCTGTGCCATTTTGGAAATGTGTGATCTTTCCCCATGGTTTTGAGCCTCAGTTCCCTCAACTCTAAAATAGACATGACAATGCCTGCCTCACAGAGCTGTAGTGAAGAATGAAGAGGATCAGGCATGAAAATCCAGCACCAGAGCTTGGGGTAGTTAGTGCTCAATGCAATCACAGCCTCCTGTGTCTCACAGCCCCTTCTTTCCCTGTCCCACCCACCTCTCCCCATACACACCAGGCGGGGGTACAAGGCTGGGCAGAGCCAGGGATGAGCTAATGCTACTCGGTGGATGGATCATTTCTCCTCTCAAGAACATGCTATCTGCCCTGCTGTCTGGGGGCATCGATGCCTGTCTCCCACTAGCTGTGTGAAATCAGGCTGGTCCTTTTCCCCCTCTGGGCCTTACGTTCTTCTGAACAGGGATGGGTGCTCTCTCATACTTCCCGGTTTGGACATTCCATGGTTCCAGGAGGCAGAGGATGACCAGAGCAGCTGGTCTTCCCAGGAACAGAAGGTTCTGTCCCTTTCTCAAGCCCTCCTTGGCCCAGGTAACCATCCAGGTACTTAATTAGCACTCTGGCAACCAGGTAACCAAGGTCAGCAGGTCAGAAGTTAATCATTTCCTCAAAGTACAAGCAAATAACCCATTTCCATATGCATATAGATAAAAATCACACAGCCAAGGCAAGGTTCTGGGCTACCTTTTCTGGTCTGAACTGACCCTAATTAGCCAGGTGACCTTGGGCAGTTGTCTTCTTCACCCTGGCCTCCACTTGCTCATCTGTAGAATGAGAGTTTGGGATTCAAGGGTAGTTACAGATGGATTCAAAGGCTGGAAAAGTGAACTGGGACCAGGCAGGTAACATTTCTTCCCAATCTGATACTGTCTTCTCCCTCACTTTCCCAGAACTTATGTCCTGGGCTTTCTAGCCCTGTGCTTCACATGTGTATTTGTTCTGCTAAGCCTACCCTTCTTTTAGTTCTTAAAATCCAGTGGATCCCATCCTCTCACCTGGCCATATTCTTTCCCTTGGCCAGGGAAGCCTCACTTCCCTGGCCCCTCTGTCCTCTGCCTTTAGGTGACAGAAAGACCCCCCTGGGGCCAGGTACAGGTAATCAAAGGGCACATAACTGGGGTGGCTGAAGAGCCCTGGGCTTCTATTCAAACTGTGTGCTTCCTTTGGATGTGAGCCACATCTCCCGTGTTGGCATAGAACGGGTACACAGAACTCCTGCCAGAGTGAACACTTCTGGGGTGGGGGGTACCATGCACAATGAGTGTGTGGGAAAGTGTCTTTCTGGTGGGTTTGTGAACACATGGGACACTGAGTCTAGAAATAACTGAACACAGTTTTTAGGAGAATGCCACTTAACATCAGACTCCTTGTGTAAAGATACACTTGGATCCAAAGGACACACAAACAGAGCTTCTCTAATGGAGGAAGAAGGTCTAATCTGGCTCTGCTGTGGACCCCCCAGCTGTGCCACCCACCCGTTTAGACTTTACCATCCCCACTTTTCCCTAGGGTGGAATAAAAAGAAGTCAGTCCCAAGGCCACATCCAGCTCTCATCTCCCAGCAGTGTGGGTCACTACCCCTACTGAGGGGAAAGACTCTACTTTCAGGAAACATGCATCTATGCTGGGCTTACTCTCCACCTAATCCCAACTGTCCACCTTGGCTTCCCTGAGGCTTGCTGTGTGCAATGCCTAATGTCCTTGCTTCCCCACCTTACCTGCCGTGAACCCAGTGTCTCCAGTTTCCAGGCAATGAAACATGTCCTCAGTCCCACCAGCAGGTCTCATTGTTATCATATCTCCAGGGTAAGCAGCAGAGGAAACAAAAGAAACAAGAGTTAGATGTTATAAAGCAAGAGAAGAAAGATGATGGAAAAGTGCCTGCTAAATAATTTCTTCCATTTTGGGGTAGGGATAAAAAGAGGTGGGTTCCTATACAGTGCCACTGCAGCTACATAGGGCCTGGCCTGGTGTCCGTCAAGAGCTCTGTCTCTTAAAGAGAACCCTGGGCCAAGATTTATTGGCTGCTGGGGCCCCGCTGTGTGTGTGGCTTTGGTGTTTACAGGCCTGGGGAAGGTTGAGGTCTCTCTTCCCAGGATGCACAGTACTGTCGAGCTGAAGTGTGGGTAAAGAATGGCTGCCATTCATGGTGGAGTTCACAACAGGAGTTGGTGTGCAGCCCAGGGGAGCAGGCAGCCTTGTACTTATAATGGAAAGGAATGGAAATCCCACCCCACTGGTTTCAGACTGGGAGGGACAGGGTGGAAAGGCTTGTTCCCTAGGAGTGTCTGGGTAACCTTGCCAACACCTGGCAGGCAGGCAGGCAAGAGACATTGATTGCATGTCCACCCTGTGTGTGCAGGCAATGAAGACAGCCCAGAGCAGAGCTGGCAGGATGTGACTCCAGAAGCTGACCAGGGTAAGATCCCTGAACCAAAGCAGGCCACAAATTAAATAAGGTAGAAGAGGGAGAGGTGGATGGAGTGGCTGTTACCTGCATGGGGGCAATGCCTGGTAGCAGATAATGTGTCCTTGCCGCAGGTACTACAGCAGTGTGAGTCTTCATTTGCACATCTGAAAAGTGGGAAGGATGATATTGGGTTCATAAGGCTTTGTGGGGATTAAATAATGGAATGTGTACAAAAGGCCTGGCATGTCAGTATTCAACCATGACTATTATTTTTACCACTAACCTACTGCTAATGTGGTTTTTCTAGTTGTGTGGTCCTGTAGGCTGAGCACTGTGAAGGCCTGGTTTCAAATCTCAGCCTTGTTCCTGCTCACCATGGAACACAGGATACACAGCACTCGGGGTTGAGGGACATGGGCTCTACCTGCCACATCTCCATCATGATCAGAGCTCATCTTGAAGGAACAAGAGCTGATATTCACTAATCACTTACTACCTAATTGGAGCTGAGCCAAGTGTGTCATCTGTTTCATCACTTTCATATAATATTGTGAACCTTTGACTGTGGAAATCTTCAAAGGAATAAAGCCAACCATTGGATATGCAGCTTTAGTATTCATGGATCCAAACAACCTCAGACAAATAATTTTCAAAAAATCCCAGAAAGTTCTAAAAACCAAAATTTGAATTTGTCCATACACTTAGGATTTTGCTGAATTCACATGAATGAAGCAATTTCTGAGCACATCCTGCTATAGACTATATGCCTCTATAGGTTATATGCAAATATTACACCATTTTATGTAAGGGACCTGAGCATCCATAGATTTTGGTATCCATGGGGATTCTGGATCCAGTCTTCTGTGAATACCAAGGGAAAACTATACAGAAACAGATGGGATGGTAAAGAGTCTCTTAAACCCAATACCCTGCTTCAATAGTGATTGATAGTCATCATTATTTTTTTCACCCATCCTTCTGACCTTTTTCTTCCCACCTTGCCCTCCTCTTTCATTTCAGTCGTCTCCTCTCTCCTCACTTACTGCTGGAACATCTAAAGCGAACTCCAGGCTTTTTATTATTCATCTGTAAATACCTCAGCATAGATGGCTGCTGGATAGAAAATTTTAAAAAAGAAAGAAGAAACTATCATACCTTAAGAAGTAGACAGTCTTGGCTGAGTGACTCAGCTGTGTGTAGCATAATCCCATGCACCAGAAAGATTTTGGGTTTAATTCTTGGTCAGGGCATTTACCTAGGTTGTGAGCTCCATCCTTGGTCATGGTGCAAATGAGGGGCAAGCAACTGATGTTTCTCTCTTCTCTCTCTCTCTAAAATCAATAAACATATCTTTGAGTGAGGATTAAAAAAGAAGTAAATGACAATTTTTAATATCATCCAATATCCAATCTGTAAGTCATTTCACTTAATCCTCAAAATAACCTTTTGGAAATAAAATGATTACTCCTAATTTTCAGATAAAGATAGAGCAAATGACACATGAAGAGATTTAGGCACAGTCACTCAGCTTGGCTCTAACTCCTGGGTCCAGTAGGCTGGTAGGTACTAAATGTAGGAATCAAACTCAGTTAAATCCCAGAACCTAAGCCCTTACTTCTCCTTCATTACTGATCTTCAGAGCCTGTGGCAACTCATCTGGGAATCGCACATGCAGGTCAGCTCCTCCACAAGCCCATTTTCCTTGTGACATTGCCTTGACCTCAGCATTCTCATGCCTACCATGGCAGCCACTGCAGCACCTGCCTCCAAGGTTGTTCATTTATTCACGTTTTCCACAAATATTTATTCTGTTGTCCTAGTGTTGTTGGGAATGCTTGCAGTCAACCAATAAGAGTATTTTCTGTGGTGAAGTTGACAGGCTATGCACCTTTGCTACTCAAAATGTGGTCCCCTGAGAGCTGGACAGAAATAGGGCCACTAAGCACTGCCCCCTCTCCCTGATGCATTAAAATCTGAGGTCCATTCTCATGCCCATTGCAGTTTGAGAAGCACTGCCCTGAGCCATAGTTCTCACTCCTGGCTGCACATTAGAATCTCTGGCCCAGGCAGGACCAGAGGGATTTAACCAGAACTGTTAAATTAAAATCACTGATGATGTATACAAGTTTTTTTGGCAGATGAGATTCAGAACTGCCGGCCCAATTTGATCACTGGATGGCTGGGGTTGAGGGTTAGGAATAAAGGCAGTACTTCAACAACAATTTTTAGAAGTTAAAAGAAAAAGAATATCCAGGTGATGTTAAAGAGTCTGTAACTGCAGATTTAATCAGTAAACACTGAGATTTACATCTAACTTAAAAAAAGAATAAATAAATGAGCTGAGGGTGAAATCTCTAGTCAGTACTTAGGACACAATGGATGCTAAATTAATCCTCTATTTTTTTCTCCTTGCCATCTCAATCTTGTTCCCAGACACACTTCATTCCTGTCCAGCCCAAAGTGTACATTCTTGAGAGGCTTTAATGCTTTTCCAAGTCCAAAGGCATTCTTTGACCTCATGAGGTTCCAACCAGAGTATTATCCTTTTCTGGGAACCCCCAAAACTATAATCTTGGGATCTACTCACAGGAAGTCAGCCTACAAGAAAGACTCGAGTCTACCCTGTCACCATCCAGTTTGCAGAGCTGGGCTGAGAGTAGCAACAATAAACAAACAAACAAACAAACAAACAAAGGCTCAACCACGTGTTTAAAGAGCTCTTCTTTCACCACAGCTGGATCCCCTTACAGATGTTATCTCATCTCACTCTCTTCGGCCAGGTGACACAAGCCACAGTTCACCAAGCAGGAGGTTTGGTTTGAATCCTTAGGCATGCAGGAGAGGGCACTGACTCTGGGGCAGAGCAGTGGCCCAGACTCAACCTGGCCTCACTGGGTGGCCTCAGGGACAGAAACATTTTCCTGCTGGTGGTGGGACTGGCAGAATCCCAGGGTGGTGGGATGGGCCTGTGAGAAGTTTCTGCTCTCCTCCCTTTCTGCAGTCCACCAAGATGCTGTGAATAGGGATGTTTCCAGGCATGTAAATGAACCACAGCCCATAGTAGGGGTGATACAGAGGGATCAGAGGCTCTTTTGGGGGCACTGTTAAGGGTCGGAACTGCTGGAGAGGGGAGAGGAGAGGAGGACAGAGGTAAGAACTGTGAGCTGTCTCTTCGGAAGCCAGCACTTCATGCTGATTCTCCTTTGGTCCTTAATTCAATAAGAGGTACGAGTCCCCCCACTTTATAAATGGGGAGACTGAGGCCTGGAAATGGGGAGGTACTTCCCAGGTTTTGCAAGCTGTTTCTGGAGGCCTGTGCTCTCTCTGAGATATGGGTGGACATGTTTAAAGAGTCAGGACCCAAACACTATACAGGGTGTGTTGAGCATGTCAAGAGATATCCTGTCCCAGACCTTGGCCATTCTAAGTCACAGAGAAATGAGGCCAGCAAGCAAAGTGTAGGAAGGGGACTTAGGCAAAACTGGGCTCAAATCCTACCTTTGGTGCTTGTTGGGGACTTTGGGCAAGTCACTTTAGCTCCCTGTGTCTCAGATTTTCTCACCTCTCACACAGTGGTACTATCTTCAGCTGCCCAGTCCGGCTTTGAGAAAGCATTGAATAAGAAAATAGATTGGGAAGAGCCATTAGAAGAGCTGCCTGAATGACAAGCCCACTCTGCAAGGGATGGAAAGTAGCACATGCACATGCCATCAGTCCCTGCTGCTTCTGAGCTCAAGGCAGGCATCACTCTTGGATCACAACCTCTCCTCCCCTGAGTGTGGACCCGTCTCAGAGCTGCTCTCAGGTCTGAGTGTTCCAGGCAGCTACTTCCTGTCTAGCGGAGCTTGTGTTTAAGATGAAATCTATCTTCTATTCTTACCTTGTCTGCTGAGAAGCTGCTGTTCTGGAGCCAGACATCTCCAGGAAAAGCCGGAGCTTGAAAATGAAGCAGGAAATCAGGAGGGGGTCGGGAAGGAAAACAACCCAGGGTAAAGGTCTCTTGGTATTGAATGGACAGTGAGCAGCGTCTGCAGCACTAAGGGCTCCTGGCAGTGGGCAGAGTGTGTACAGCAGCCATTAGGAGGTGATGGCACAAGGATCAGGGCCCTTCTTGGTTGAGCCACTGCCCTGGATCAGGGATTTGCCTCTGAATCTCATTCCATGAGCACAAAGTTTCTGGGAGGTCCTTGCTATAATTATCTCTACTTTACATATAAGGAAACTGAGACTGGGAGAAGCTACAGTCAAGAGTATAGGAAGCTGGCATTGGCAACCTAGTTTGCCAGATCCTAAAGCCCACGTTCTCCATGCTCACTCTCAGAAAGCACAGTCTGACGCCTTGGGTGCCTGCCTCCCGTCTGTCTCTTGAGCAGGGCTGAGACGGGGGTGGGGAGGACCTGTCCTGGCCCCAGCATTTAGGAGCAGGAAGGCTGGGTCCCTGCCACATACTGAGTGAGGCAAACAGCCTGGGGAGTTTTGCTGGCGCTTGCTTTTTTTTTTTTTCTTTTTTAATTTTTGAGGCATTTGAGTTCGAAAATCCTAAAACAGGGAACTGAATAATGGGTGGGAGTCCCTCTCAACTCCTCTTTTTTATGGTGTATCTTTAGGCAACGTCCTGCCCTTTTCTGGGCCTCAGTTTACCCATCTATGACTGAGAGTCATATAACTCAAGAGGGAGTCTACAAAGTGTAAATATTTGTGCCTCCCAGGAACTTTTGGAAGTTTGATTCACAGGCCCCCAGATCAGAAACTGCAGCAGTTTTTGGGGGCTCCAGGAGATTTACATGCTCATGGAGGTTGTGGAATCATCTAGCTCCTAAGTTCTGGAGTCTCTTGTACACTCAACAACTTGGGCATCCTGTGATTCACCAGGTTAGCACCTGAGTCTGGGCTGAACCTTGAAATGCAGTCTGGTTGTTCCAGACAAGGAGGGTGAGCTAGGGATGCTGGCAAGGCCCCTTTTGGGGGCAGAATGGCAAGCATCCTGTAAGGAGGCTGTGGGCAGGCCTGGGATGGTCTGGGAAACCCAGCCAGCCCTCATGAAGCTCCCAGACTAAGGCAGGAGGCCAAGCATACCAACACACAGAAGCAACCCTGCTAAGCAACCTGGATGTGGGGAGGGTGGGAGAGAGGCTGCAGGAGGCCAGAACAGGGTGTGGTCAGGAGTCTGGGAAGAAGAGCTCACCACTGTGTACTCCAGACTTGGAGGCAGAACATTCTGTCCTTGCTCTGCAGGTGACCCCAAGGCCCAATAGGTAATAACTCAAGGCCCTATCACAGAGCAGTGGGGGCCACAATTAAATTTAAATGCTCATCCATTTTCTCCACAAGCACCAGAATTTTCCATCCCTTTTATAGATTTCTGAGTAATGATAAAATGCAGCTGTTTTAGCTCCTTAGCCAATGAAATAATAAAAGGTGGCCTGAGTCCCCTCCAGGGAAAGCAGCAGCTTACTTATTTATTTTGACTCCAAGACTCAGAATGAACTTCAGCTAAACATCTTCATCTCCCTGACCCTTACCTGAAATCACTTTTTGGTGACTCCTTTGTAGGCATTCAAAAGCCTTCTATTTGCCCCTTCTGAAAAACAAAACAAAACAAAACAAAACAAAACAAAACAAAACAAAACAAAACAAAACAAAACATGGGTTTTCTAACCCTTGCAACCATGCAGGACCCTTGGCAGGGTTAAATGAGATACTGCAGGCCATGGCTTAGCAGAATTCCTGGCACATAGTAGGCACACTACAACGGGCTTGCCTGCCTGTTGGTCTGCCTTTCAGATCTCCTAGGGGTTAGAAAATTCACATAAAGCTTTCTGCTTTGGATCCTGCCAGGCCAGACATTTTTGTTTTCTTAATCATAAAAATAGCCCCAGCCTTCTTGGGCGCAGGATTGCTCAAGACTGCATAGTAACCTTGAGACAGGTAGATAATCCTCAAGTCTCTGAAACTCTCATCAACTGCTTAGACGTCAATGCAATATATTTTTTATTTTCTAGCACCACTATTACATAAAGTGGCTTGAATTGTGTCCCCACAAAACATATGCTCAAGTCCTAACCCCTAGTACCTGTGAATGAAAAATATTTCCTTATTTGGGAATAGGGACTTTGCAGATGTAGTTAAGTTAAAGATCTCAAGATGAAGTCATCATGGATTTAGGGTGAGCCCTAATCAAATGACTAGTATCCTTATAAGGAGGGAGAGATCTGAGATCCAGAAAGAAATAGGAGAATGCCATGTGAAAACTGCGGCAGGGATTGGAGTGATGTGTCTACAAGCCAAGGAACGCCATGGATTGCCAGTAACTACCAGAAACTGTAAGAAGCA